TAGATCAGTCTGGAATCTTGAAAAATCTTAAACGATGAATATTTCAGAAGCGTCTGTTTTTTCTTCATTTTCCAAATATTATAAAAACGAATAACGTGCGCAAGCGTGGACACGTCCCGTGCCTCGAAATTTTTCAGATTTTCTTGAATGCATTATGTCGACGAGACTGTATTATGCATCGAGCAGAATATTCAAAATGAATATTCATTGTTTATGAACACCATCGAAATTAAAAATGAATATTCATTATTCGTGAATATATCTTCAAAACTTTCCGCGGCTCGGCACTGATTCAAAATATTCAAGATACACAAGGCTAATCAAGATTTTCAAGAATTTCAAGCGTCGTCGAATTGATGAAACACGGTTCGAGACGAAACCGTGTATTTTTTGTGGTTATATAAATTATAGTTCCTTTACGTGTATGTTTCACATTAATAAGACTCGATGAAGTGTCCACTAAAGTGTCCGACACGACTGAACGAATATTGTAAGCGCCGGTCCCCGCCGAACCGACGCCAACCCAACGAGTAACGCCGCGTCGGTCCGTGGGGACTGACGCCGCCTCGAACGTGCTAATCTTGAAAATTAATTTGCAAATTGACTCGTGTGTTTATCGTGTTGGATAAAAATAATTTAAATCCGTATTCCAGTTCTCATGCAACGATCAGCGAACCACGTCGCGATAGAAATGCATCGATAAAGGTTCGAACGGAAGATAAATCGATGGAAAGTTCGCGGTTAAACGAGTCGGGAAGTTTCACGGCGAACTTCTACCTCCCTCGTAGATTCAAGATGGCCGCTGGCCACGAGAACGTAGGCGCTTTATCTTTCCTATACGTGGAAGTTTTTAACGGGTCGGCTGTGTCGTGAATCATATTTAATTTACGACACAGCCCGGAGAACAATGGCTCCGAAGAAAAGTTCCGCTCTGTCACGAAATTTTTGAACGCCGCTTTCACGTGTGTGTGCGCGCGCGCGCGCGCCAGTCATTTGAAATGCAAAATAAAACGCGGCGCGCGGAATCGCTCGAAACGTGTTCGCTCTCGTTATCGTGGAAACGACGTCGGAAAAATGGGCTTATTTTTCATCCCCTTGTTCGATAAACGACCGCCATTATGCGAATAGAGCGGATTTGATTTGTTAGTCTGGAATTATAATTCGGGAATGATCAAGTGGAATACTATATTCTGTCAATCGTTTTTTCGTTATAGATATTGTGTAGGTTCGTGCGTGTGATATATTAGCATATTATGTATATAAACATATGATACAATTAATGCTATCGTCGCTAATTTTATTGATATTAAATTACAGTTTCATATAATAAATAGTCTACTCTGGAGATTTCGCATATGTTTACATACTATATAGATGTTGTCTATTTTTACACAAGTTCTCGAAAAATTACAACGAAGTTGAACATTGTTAAATATAATACACATTTTTTTTTTCTTTTTTTAATGATTTGACAGACAGAATTTTTCTAGAACACAACAATCTTTATTTCACATCTAAATACGATATTTTTATTCTTCATCTGTGTAAATTTTATTTTCGTATCTTTGGGAAACAAAAGGTGCGAGAGAGTCGTATAAATTTTTATTAATTTTTTGATTAAAAGAAAATGTACGAACGTCGAGAAAAGAGAAAGATCAACAGAGAGGAAATGTTGAAGAGAACATGCCAGCGGACAGAACAGAGCAAGGTACTTGTGTTAAAACGACGCTCGCTGTCCGCAACCGGAAGTTGCGGAAATTGTTGTGGCGGAAGGACCAGGTCGCTGGATAATTCACACTCTGAGAATTTTACACCGACAGAAATTCCGTATTCCCGTCAAAGTTCTATCTTTTCAACTTTTTTTCTACTCTCCCGTCGTTGCACGTACGATTGTCAGTCAATTCACTCAAAAGCAATTTCTAAAGAGGAAATTTCATTTTTTGGGAATAACGCCACGTGACTGAAATGTTACGTATCTCTACATTTCAGAAATTTATCTATTTATTCTACTACTCACCGTAGAAATGGCGTGTTAGACCATTTTCTTTTGTTTCAAGACAATTCACGTGTGTTTACGTTTGCACTGATAATGCAGTTTCATCTAGTGCAATAAATTTTCAACTGATATTTAGCAATAAACTTGGAACGAAATTTTAAGATTTGATTCATAGATTGTTTATAAATAAATTAATGTATATGTAAATTTTTCAAAAAATTGACTCAGATCGTTTTCAAAATGAACGGTCCATTTGTGTCTATATTTTTATTTATTCATAGCTCTAGAGTAGTGTACGGTTGTAAATTCCGCGCCACCTACGACACCTACGTGATATTTATTAAAACAGGAACTCATACTATTCAAGTTCTATATGGACGATAAAAAAAATACGATTATTCTAATGAAAAAATTCCTGAGCAACCAAAAAATGAAATTAATCGACTGTGAAGCTAGTAATATCTGGCCTGCGAAGCTTGAAAAAAATGCAATCGTCCCAATGAAAAAATTCCAGAGCATTTTACGATAAATAAAACAGTACGAGTGAAAAAATTCGAAAACTGCACAAGTAGAAATTGCAATTCGTTTATCTTGAATTTAATATCGACCTTGAAAGTACAAGTATCTCAGTGGGAAAATTCCGACGAGACAAAAATTGCGAGTAATTTATCATTGACGTACTATCACCAAGCTTAGAAAATGCAAAATGTTCCAAGGGAACGGACTACAATTTTAAATTACAAATTACCTGATCTAGCAAAATCGTTTCGATAAAAAGACTCTAATGATACAATCAAGTTGATTCAAAGTTTACCATCATTTAATCGAAGAATTTAATCCTGACGAAAACTTCCGAGGACGGAGACATTACAATCAATCAACTTTAAACTATATAAACTAGAAACAAGTAATCTAGAAAGATCGAAAAATAAAATCCGATGAGAAAACACCACAGAAACGCACGGTTCTTGGCATCAATCGACTTGGAGCTCATTACCATTTAACTCGCGAGTCTTAAAGAATGCAACGACCTCGATGAAAAAAAATCGCACTTAATTAACCTATGACGTTCAAACGTGGCACAATCTAACCTGTGAATCTTCAAAAAAAAAAAAAAAAAAAAAAA